TTAGAAAAGTTTTTTTTTTTAGTTTTCAAAAATTTAATTTAGAAAATAAATTTCATGTATAATAACACTGGCCTATTATGATTAAGATGTAAAATAAGTCTCTGATGTCCCTAAAATGTGTATGTGAAGTTTCAGCTTAAAATACCACATAAATATTTTGTTTTATCTCTTTGAAACTGCTCATTTTAGCCTTTGATCTAAATTGTGCAGTTTTGGTGACTGTCGCTTTAAATTCAAATGAGCTTGTCCAACCAGCCTTCTTTTCAGAAGAGAGTAGAGCTACAAATCTCTATGCATCACATTAGTGGCAGGTTTAAAAACAGGACTGAAAGTATCTTTGTGGGAAAACTGAAAATGTCAAAAGAAGTTGGGCAGAAGAAAGTGGTCTATGGGCTAGCTCACACTGAGCTGATGCCAAACAACTAATGCTGATGAAACTCAATTGTGTGTGACATTGCATTGGCTCATGCTTGGTTCCATCTACACCAAAAATCTGTTCACACAACAGGTTTTAAACCCTTTCTAAAAGTGATTTTTGCATAACACTGTAGGTTCCCTATAAAAGAAACGTATGTAATATGGGCTTCTTTTAGCAATTTGCAAGAATTGGCAAAGTACAACAATTTTTTATTGGTCATTTTGTTTTAAGAATAAGCTCCAAAAGTGACCTGTGAATAAAAAAAAAACCCACGACCTTTCCCAGTACTGGGTTGCAGCAGGATGGTAGTTTATTCCACTGTAGCGACCCCTGATGAATAAGAGACTAAGAGGGGTATGCTGTACAATGCGATTGATACAGTATGTCTAGTACATTTTGGTCTCCTATAGCAAGCAAAATCCTGTTTCTCATGTCCCCTTTAGACATTTTCTTGCTCGAAAGACTTTGTTGTTCTTTTATTGAATGATTTTAAAAAGGAAACTGACTCACAAAGACTGAGGTTTGGTACTATTGAAAACATTCAAAGCCCTGACACACAGACAAAAGATGGTTCTTTGGGATTTTCAGTATTCAAGAGTTTAGATAAAACATGTCAGAAGCAGACACCAACGCAACATGCTTCCACACATTGTATGAGGAGATAAGAATGAACAGCTTTGTGTAACCTGAATGGATTGTCTTTGAATGAACAAAAATTGGATGCAAAAACCTTAATTAGGCAAAATATAAATTTAAATAATTGAATTAGAGACACTTTTCTTTTATCGTTCTCTTTTGATTTAGGGCAAGACCTTGATGGATTAAACATTTATTATTTTATAAACGTTCTCATTAAAAGAGCTTTCAGAATAAATGTGAAACCTAAACGCACCTCAGAATATTTTAATAAAAGTTTTTTTTTAAAGCCAACAAGTTTTTAAGGGGATATATTCATACCAATTACAGGTTGTTTTTAAAAAGGTGCTAGCTGAAAAAGACAATCATATTAATTAATATTATGATTAATATTATTATGGGTGACACATTGACTTAGAGGTTAGCTCTGTTGCCTCACAGCAAGAAGGACGCTGGTTTGAGTCCCTCCTGGGTCATTTGGCATTTCTTTGTGGAGTTTGCATGTTCTCCCCATGTTTTATGGTGGTTTTCTTCTAGGTGCTCCGGTTTCCCCCAGAGTCCAAAGACATGTGGTATGTGTGTGAATGTGAAAGTGTATGGGTGTTTCCCAGTACTCGGGTTGCAGCTGGAAGGGCACCCGCTGTGTAAAACAAATGCTGGATAAGTAGGCGGTTCATTCCGCTGTGGCAACCCCTGATGAATAAAGGCACTAAGCTGAAGGAAAATGAATGAATGAATAATTCTTATTATTAATAGAAATAAATTCATAATTTGTAGTGCTGTTGATTTTTCTGGTACTCCTAAAACACTTACAAAAATGCATTTCTTATCTATGATTCATAAACAGATTTGAGGGTAAAAAATAATGTAGTTCTACAAAAACTACTGATGACATATAAATATTGTCATTTCAGCATTTTTTTTTTTTTTTTTTTGCTTAAAATAAGAAATAGTAGCCATGTTTTCATCAAGCGGCAACCTCTTGCTCTCCCTCAGGAAGCCAATACGGAAGTAACTAAAACTGCAATTCATCCGAAATTCCGCTAGTCCTGGCCGCTCCTGGCTCCAAATCAGAGCAAATTTCAATTGAGCCCACTGTTAGAATGGCCAACTTTACAGCAGAAAAAAAGGTGTTTACAGCCTGGTACAAAAAAAGATTTTGGTTAATACAGGTAATATTACCCTTCATGACAACTGTGAGGGGGGTGAATTTTTTTATAACTCATCCGTTTCCTTTATATTAAGTTATATTAAGTTTGCATAATTAAGGGCGTGGCCACTTGAGTGACAGTCAAGTCACCTCAGCTGAATCCTGCAGATTAGCCACTGAACTCGGCATATTTATCGTATTTCTGTGTTGTTTTATGTGGCTTTACACAGTCAACTGCCTTTTGGACTTGTTTCCTACAATTATTAGATGGCATGGCATGCTGAGTGAACTTAATTGTGCTCACAAACCATTCACGTGGCCTCTGTTTCCTATGTGAGTAAAGTTATATACTTATATACCATCTCTATACATGTATTTGTTTTATTTAAGATCATTTATCATTTATATTTATATTTAGAGCTGTAATGCACTCCAGAATCTGTCAGATTGATTAGCTGTAGGCTCTAGAACAGTCATCTGAAGCGTTGTCATACAGTGTTATGCTGGATTTCATCAATAGTCTTACAGTAACTAACACAGACTATATCTGAAGTGTTTGGAAGTAATTCGCGTTTTCCTCCTGTTGAAAAACGTCATAAGAACAATGTTTAGTGGCTCAATGTATTACAGCAGTGTTTTTAAAAGTCTAAACACTTTATTGATATAGTGTACAACCAAGCACATGTGGTCAGAACACAAACGAGTCACAGGTGATAAAGTATTAAGCATTTCTCCCAAAGTAAAGTGTGTCTGAACCAGGTCCAAACTAAATGCCAGCAGGTGTCTGAAGCTCCGCTCACTCTCCGCCTCTTTGCCCTTGTTTGGTATCCCGCCGTGGGTGTGATGACGCGCGAACAAAATGGCGACGGTTGGCCGCGCCTACTTGTGGCTTCTTCTTTTTTTTTTTTTTTTTTTTTTTTTATAATTACTATAATTATTTTATTTATTTATTTTATTTTTTTTTTTTTTCGGGGTTTTCACCTTTATTTTGACAGGACAGTACAGAGACTTGACAGGAAAGCATGGGGAGCAGAGAGAGGGAAAGGATCGGCATAGGACCGCGAGGCGGAATCAAACCCGGGTCGCCGCGAGCACCGGAGTGCATATGTCGACGCACTAACCACTACACCACTGGCGCCGACACTTGTGGCTTCTTTTGCGCTCTGTAGAAGCCTATGAGTGACGTCATGGATACTACGTCCATATATTTTACAGTCTATGGTTTTCATACATTATTATATGCACAATACCAATGTTTTAACTTTAAAATAGTTAAGAAAAAATATTTGGTGGAATAAACATGAATTTCATTCATTCATTCATTCATTTTCCTTTGGCTTAGACCTTTTTATTCATCAGCATACATTTTATACAGCGGATGCCCTTCCAGCTGCAACCTAGTCCTGTAAAACACCCATACAAACTCATTCACACACATACACTGTACTACATGTCTTTGGGGAGACCAGAGCACCCAAGGGAAACCCATGCGAACACTGGGACAACATGCAAACTCCACACAGAAATGCCAACTGGCCCAGCCGGGACTCGAACCAGCAACCTTCTTACTGTTAGGCGACCTGAATTTAAATCAAAGCAAATGAAAACATTTGTTGTTCTGGCCAGTTGTAATTTTCTAAAATTGATATGAAATAAAATAAGTATTGACGTTTTAGTCAAACCCATACATAATAAATAAATCCAATAAATCCAGAGAAACGACTAATTTTCAAAGGGTCTTTTAATTTTCTCCATAAGGACATGACTTTTTCTTTCTTCTAAAGAAAAGATTAACCACATAACCCCAAAACAAAGATCATTAGAAAAACAATGTTGCAAAGTGTGATGTAAGAACACTCTAAAAACTAATGTGAGAAATGCAAAAGTGCAGACGACCATCATTTCTAATGTATGTTTTTTTATGTCTGAAATTTTTTTATTCCATGTTTGACGTAATTTCAACTAAAAAATTAAACAAGGGTGGGACATCAAGTAGCTCTTACCCTTTAAAAAACAGCCAATAGCGTTTTGTTTGCAAAAGTTGTTAAGGTCAAGCACATAAAATGAAAAGCAAATGAGAAGTTTCTTGAAGAGGGCAGGACATGTCAGATACTAGGGAGTATTTGATTGGTCAAGATTTGATGAGAAACTGAAATATGAGGTGACATGAAATAAATCATTAATCCGTTTAGGTGGAAGGGACAAACTGCAGGCTTTGGATCAATTTTATATTTTATAAATGTGATTTTTCTCACTGTTTTGGAGCACACTGGCTAATTGGTATTCAAAAAATTACTGAAAGTAACATCTAAAAAAATTTATTTTAATTTAACAGGACCTTTAAATAATAATTCAGAATTTTGTAAATATATGTCAAGAGCTCATGTAACAGTTTGCAGGAATTTATAATTCATTCATTCGTTCATTCATTCATTCATTCATTTTCCTTTGGCTTAGTCCGTTATCTATTAGGGGTCACCACAGCTGAATGAACCACCAACTATTCCTGCATATGTTTTAAACAAAGGCCACAACCCATTACTTGGAAAGAATCTATCTTTTAAAAAGTTTTTTTTTTTTATAAAGGTACTGGTACTGTCAACTGGGCTCATGTGGATTTCTGCAATATTTATTTTGTGTAGCTTTTGAAGTGTCAACTTTCTATCAACAACACATTTGCATTACAAAGATTCACATGCTGATGAGTGCAGATTTACTATAGCCATGTAAATTTTCCTGTCGTCTTACTTTGACTTAACTAAAATTATGTGGGGTTTTTTTTTTTCATTTCTGCAGATGGTCTGATTGTCGTGGGTGTTCACTCGGCGAAATTCCCCAATGAGAAAGTCCTGCAGAACGTACAGAGTGCGGTGTTGAGATACGACATCAGCCATCCTGTAGTGAACGACAGCGATGCCCGTCTGTGGCAGGAGCTGGAGGTGTCCTGCTGGCCCACACTGGTGCTGCTGGGACCCAGAGGAAACTTGCTTTTCTCCCTGGTTGGTGAAGGGCATAGAGAACATCTCTTCCTTTTCACTGCTGCGGCTCTGAAACACTATAGGGAACAAGGGCTCCTCAAGGACCATAATGTGGGAATCAAACTGTACAGGGACTCGCTACCTCCCTCCATCCTTTCTTTTCCTGGAAAAATAGCCATAGACCCCAGCGGCAAGCAGTTGGCTATTGCAGACACAGGACACCACAGGGTACTGGTGGTCTCCAATACTGGGCAGGTGCTGCACACTGTAGGAGGTGAGGCCTCTTCATGCACTCTTGGATAGAGTTACCAAATTCAAAAGATGCTGAGGTTTCTGTTTATTTTCTTGATAAATTAAGGGACTATGCTTTATTGCAATAGAAACAGGAACTTTTAGTATCTGGATTTTTTAAAAGTTGCATTAGTTGTATTTATTCTGTTTCTTTTTATTATTATACTGTCAGTTTTAATTCTTGTTGTGTTTTCTTGTATATAGATTATATAAATATATATATATATATATATATATATATATATATATATATATATATATATATATATATATAACACAATATACAATTAATCGAAAATCTGATTTCGGCTTCCAACTATTATGAAAAACCATTAATCGAGATAAACGATTATTGCATCATATACCAAAAGCGCGAAAGACCGCGTGCTTATGTGTGTGTGCAACACGCGCACACACATAAGCACGCGGTCAGCATACTGTCTTATTCGCACACTGAGACGAGCAGAGGAGCGCAGACATCTAAAGTAATCTTAACGTGAGCGCTTTAATGGTCAAATAGGTGTCAAAACGCGGTGATTAGTGATTATTCATATTAACCCTCATTTGCTTAATAAACAAACGAGTTGAGAATCAAAAGACACGTGAAAGAGAAACCATTAAAGAGACAGTGCGAAATGCTGCCGTCTGTTTTATCATTAATCAAACGACGAGAAAATTCCTCGCTGCTCTTGACCGAAGGATTTTTGTAGCTAAAGTGTTTTTCTTAGGGTGAAGATGCTTAAATCACAGTTTGTTTCATATTTTTATTCTATTGTATTTATTTCTCGTTCCTTTGCAGGGTGGAAAATAACTGTATATATACAGTTGTAGTCAGAATTATTAGCCCTCCTGAATATTAGCAACCCTTTTCCTCCAATTTCTGTTTAATGGAAAGAAGTTGTTTTTTTTTTTGTTTTTTTTTACGTATTTCTGAACATAATAGTTTTGATATATCATGTCTAATTACTGATTTGTTTTATTTTTGCTATGATGACAGTACATAACAATTTACTAGATGTTTTTCAAAATACAAGCATTTAGATTAAAGTGCAATTCAAAGGCTTAATTAGAGTAATTAGGCAAGTCATTGTATAACAGTAGATTCTTCTGCAGACAATCAAAAAATATATTGCTTAAGGGGGCTAATAACATTGACCTTAAAATTGGTTTCAAAATATTTAAACCTGCTTTTATTCTAGCTAAAATAAAACCAATAAGACTTTCTCTAGAAGAAAAAAAATATTAGAGGAAATACTGTTGAAATTCCTTGCTCTGTTTAACATAATTTGGGAAATAGTTATATAAAAAAACAAAATTCTCAGGAGCGCTAATAATTTTGACTTTAACTGATAATCGTTTTGAATAATCGTAATTACAATTATGACCAAAATAATCTTGATTATGATTTTTTCCAAAATCGAGCAGCCCTAATGTATATACCCCTTTAAGCTATTTTTTTCATTAGTCTACAGAACAAACCATCGTTTACAATAACTTACAGTAAGTTATTAAGCTGTATAGAAGTGTCTTGAAAAATATTATTTACTGTCATCATGACAAAGATAAAAGAAATCAGTTATTAGAAATGAGTTATTAAAACTAATATGTTTAGAAATGTGTTAAAACAATTTTCTCTCTGTTAAACAGAAATTGAGGAAAAAATAGACAGAGGGCTAATAATTCTGACTACAACTGTGCATGCAACTATGAAAAAAAATAAGTTCTCTGAGTTTACTGGATTTTTGTTTTTAGTTATAGGTGTGAGTAAATGTTAATCTTTTATCACAAAAAGGTCTCATAACATAACATTGTATCTATTTGTATCTATTGTAACATTTATATCTGTCATTTTGCCAATATAACAATTGGTCAGAATTGCAAATGTTTTATTTGTGGTAATTGAAAATCAGATTTATGCCCAATCCCAAATAAAACCAAATGTTGAATTTTTAACCCCTCTGAAGTTAAAATTGGTATTGTGTTTTCTAAATATGAATATCAACATGTTTAAAAATATGCCACCTTTGTCATTTTTATGTACACAAAAAAGTTCTAAATAACTTTTTCTGTAAGAAAGGTCATGGTTTATATGTTACTTTAAGCACAACCATTCAAGTTTGAATTTGTTAAGCTGTTTCAATGACTTCCTTAAATATTATTTCATATGAAATGCAGTTTTTTTTCCCTTAAAGGAATTTATCCACCATTTACTCATCATCAACCTTTATGAGTTCCTTTATTCTGTTGAACACAAAAGATGATGTTTTGAAGAAAGCTGAAAACCAAAAACCATTGACGTATATAGTAAGAACAACAAATTCTATGCTAGTCAATGGTTACAGGTTTCCAGCTTTCTTCAAAAATATCATCATTTGTGTCCTACAGATGAATAAAACACAAACAGGATTGGAACAAGTAAATGATGACAGAATTTTTATCTATGGGTGAACTATCCCTTTAAATGCAGGATGCTTTCATGAAATATAGGGCAGTTGGCAAAGCCTGTTTGATTAGTTTAGAAAGGCTGCTAATTTTCTCCTTGGTAAGTGTTTCGATGCTATTTTAGTCCACTTCTACATGGGATTGTCTTTGCCTTTTTTTAGGTCCCTCAAGTGGGAAACGAGATGGAAATTTGTCCGAGGCTCAGTTCAGCTCCCCACAAGGCCTGTTCATAAAGGGAGACACAGTCTACGTGGCTGACACTGAAAACCACCTTGTTAGAAAGGTAAATCAGCAGAATCGGGTCAAGCTTGTTCTCCCGCTGCTAACTCTAACCCAGATCCACTCTGATTGGTGCTTGAAAAACAGTCGTCATGATAGCACTTATGTTTGTCCTCATTAGTTTTTTCCTTCTTCTCCAGATCAACCTTACGGAAGGAAAAGTCTCAACATTAGCAGGCATTGGCGTACAAGGCACTGATAAAGAAGGCGGAGCATTGGGACCACAACAGCCAATCAGCTCTCCCTGGGATGTTACCCTTGGCAGCGCAGGTACTTTTATTATAGAATTTAAGATCACTCCATCTACCTTTATTCCTGCATTGCTCATAAAACGTAATATCTTGTGATTCTGCATTTTATTATTCCACCAGGAGCACTTTCTACATCCCCTTCTCTCCCCCTCACATCTTCTCCCTATCTGTCTTGTCCATCTAGGAATCTTCAATCAGGTTGTTCTCAGAAGTCTTGGCTTTGTAGATACCACACTCGCCTTTGATTTTCACAAGTGTATACGGTGCAGAAAAAGATCTTTGTTCTGCTAAAACGGCCTCTAGTTGTTTGGAAGCGGCCCTGGAGTAAATTGTGTGGTCCGTCAGTTGCTAGTCAGAGACACAGAGCCGAATGTTGTGGCGCTGCCTGAGTTCAACCCATACCACTGAAGAAAAGATATGATCAGAAAGCACTCATGTGGCTGGCTGCGGTTTCAAAGAAGTGGTGCTTCTGCTTTCGTCAAAGATTTCCTCTTTTTGTTTTGCGGTGGTATCTTTTTACCAACAAGATATCCCACAGGTCTAGGAAATTGAATTTAACATGCTTCTAAAGCGTAATTAAAATTCCTGCTTCATATTTGCCAGCGTTATTAAATCAGTCTGCATTATTCAGTCATATCGTTCCATTAAACTGCTGAAGAAATGGATGTGGCCTGCATCAGTTGAGAGAGAGAGGGAGAGAGGTTTAAAGTCGAGTGTGTGTTTGATTTAGTCAGTGTGTGTTTGGAGCACATTCATTGATGATCCCTGCTGTGCATTAGGTTAGTTCCCTGAACTACAGATTGCTTTCTTGCAGGTTTTTCTACTAAGAAAATACGATTGTTTTTGTATCCTTTATATTTGTATGTTTTTTCTAAGGATGCTCCTTTTAGGAGCTTTTTTGCAGCCGATACTGAGTAACGATTCCTTGTCATGGTCATTGGCTGATACTGAGTACTGATTCTGATGACTCAACCTTAATAATGCATAAAGCACATTTTGAGTTAAAGTATGATACTTAAGTCTCTCCTTACCCAAGAAAATAAATGAAGGATGTTGCATTTAATCCCTTAAACATGTCTCTTATAACCCAGGGAAGGATTAATGGGGCAACCATTGTAATTTGTGTAAATCTGTAGTTTTATTTTTTTATTTTTTTTATTTTTGTGGGGGGTTGGGGGTCTCAGTTAGATTCATCGTCATTAAAGCAGACCTGAGTAATAGTTTGCACCTTCATTGCTTATCATTGTGCACAAAAAGGAGCATTAACTGCTTAATTCCGGACTTCATTTAGGTATAATGATATTGTATAGTCCTATAATGTGCACGTCTGATGAAGACGCTGACAATTTGCAAGATTTTGAAATCGCTTTGAATGCGTGCGTGGCTGTGCACACTTTGTCCGCACTCACATTTGCATGTCACGACTACGTGCACTCTATGTACATTATAAATAAAGCCCAGATGCACATTTGTTATTGTCCTCTTCAAGTCATCAGTCCTTATCACTTCATTTATTCAGTGCTACAGCATAGCACCTAAAATGTAATACCTGAAATTATCATGAAAATGTTTATGATAATATCAGTTTATAAAAATACATTTTATAATTAATTAAACCTTTTAAAAAGCAGACACTACGCCAAGACAGGGAAAGTGATTAACTAATGATATATTTTTCTGGGTGGAATGTTAAAGCATAGGCTGCTTAATAGGGCGTCTCGCCTTCTATCTTTTTTGTCCTCGGTTGTTCACATCCCTGATAACCATTTAGTGTGGACATGTCATGGTCAGAAGCAGCTTTACAGAAAATAATAGATAAAACAGATTCAACAATTGGTAAGAAATGACTCACAAAGCAATTTATAAACAATGCAAATGATGGAAGAACTCAACTTGTCTCCATATAGAAAAAGTTTGGAATGCATATTTTGATGCATAAGAAGTAAAAACGCACATCTGTAAATGTATATTTGTTTATTGCATTAAGTATATCACAAAAGGTATATTATTAAATATTCACATTTAAAAATAGATATTTTAAAGGTTTTTTTATTTCATTGATGTTTTCAGCCAGGTTTCCTTCCTCTGTGTGTAAAGCTTTAAACAAACACCTGCTATCGGTTGATGAGATCTGCCAGATTAGCAAGCACTGATCGAGTCATAAAATGTGATTATAGGCCGATACCAATCTCCGGAGCATCCCTAGTTTTTTCTTATTCGATTTACTTTAACTTTTTAAAATTTTTGCTTTGTTTACTTTTTTCTTACATGTTATAGCAGCAATGATTTTGAATGAATCCCTTAAAGTGAAGAGATTTCATGTCTTGAGTTATAAGTTTTATCCAATAGGCTTACTGAGATCAACGCTGTCAGTGTTGACGGCGTTCATGCTCTGTTATTGAGATTTTTCATCTCTTGCAATTTCATCTGATGTAAATCCACCTTATTCATCATGTTTTCAGCATTTTGCTTTGAGCTTAGTGAAATGTTATTTAATTATTTTGCATTCAATAGTCAAAATGGTTCAAGGCAATGCAGCTGCCTCTTACAAACAGATCAACAGATATACTGTAATTATGTAATAGAATATTTGAGTCGGAACCACAACAGCAGTCGAAAGATTATTAATATTATTATTATTATTATTTCTTTTTTTTTTCTTTTTTTTTTTACTATGTAGATTGAGTTAAATCAGTTTAACATAGAAGTTCTAGTAAATTGAAACTGTCGGTCCAGTTTTCAGAGCTGAAGTTCAGTTCAGTTTTGTTCAATTTGATTTTATTTTCACTTTAAAAAAAAAATTTTTTTTACTCTTACAGTTTATACAGTTCTATGTTCCATTGTAATTATCTGATTTTTCATTCATTCATTCATTATGTGAAAGTTACACAATATACACAATCTGAAGTGTTCTAACTTGTTCTGTATAAAAGAGATGTAAGTGATGTATTTTAAATGATTAAATAATTCTTGCTGACAAACGGGTAAAGTTAGAGGTTTAATCAATTTAAAGTGACAGTAAATATGTATTTGGAGCTGCACTGTGATCCTTAATACTTTTTTTATATCATCACATCCTTCTCTTTTTAAATATGCCTAACAAGATGGTATAATACTTTAATTATTGTTACGCTGAATGGCACTTTAGTGGGTGTCTTCAGTGAAAAATTTCAGATTTTTTTCATGCAGCCCTTAAGATTGGATCTTTATTGCACTGATTAATACATTTTGGCTTGTCATATGTTTGCCAAAAGTTCTATTATCTGATGCAGTGAGTATTTTTTAACAACCCATGTCAGAAGATGTATCCCATGGCTATATTCCAGAATTGTGAAAGAAGTCTTTATTTTCACACATGAGTTGGTCACCAACTGACCTGAACCCTATTAAAAGTCATATTGCATAAGGCTGTCAGTGCCATGATGACTGTACAGCACAATTAAACACTGCACAAAAATGCTTTCTTACTTGTCAACTAGTCCAAATGTTTTAAAATTCCTAAATCAAGAAGCATTTTGTAGTAAAAAAGATACTACATAAATATTGTTTTCAGAAATAATAGGTTTAAAAAAGGAGAAATTTTCCTTGTTTACCCCAAAGCAAAAAAAAAAAAAACTTTAATTTTGACTTATTGTTTATTTAAACAAAACTGTATTTTTAACTTCAGATAAACAATATTGTTTTACTTGTCTCGAAAATAATTCTTGATTTAAGAATTTGAGATATCTGTAATAAAATTCATTTTTTTGCAGTGAAACTATAAAGAGGGTCCAGCAAATTATTTGCGTGTTACTTTTTACTTTTTTTATATCTCCTTTCTTAAAAGCTCAAGCAGACGTTATCTGAAGCATTTTGTCTGACAAACTAATACCTGCTTTAAGATTTGTAATTGCCACTTCATCATTCATAATCATCTGGCTAAAGAAGTCTGGTTTGCGTTTTCCCGCTTCATTTGTTTTCCTCCTTTGAGTTTCAATTTAATTTGGAAATACCGCAGTGCGTCTTTGTCCTTCATCACAAATTTCATCTACTTTGGCTCATTCTGTGTTTTTTACCTTCCATCCGTCCCTGATTCCTTTGAAATCTTGCATGAGGAGAGTTTTACTCCCTTCCTCTCCATCTCAGTCCTTCTCCATTTCTCTTTCCCTCACTCTTTCTTTCCCTCTGTCTCGCTCTTTCATGAATATGTCTTGTTAGGCTCCAGCCCAGCAAAGAAATTGTCCCTGATAAGCACAGAACCATTAGAGAGGTCTATTGTTAGACACAAGTACAGAGCCCCTCATTCCTGATTCCTGATGGAGAAAACGCAGCGCAATACTCTTGAGTATTTGTGCACCCTCCACGTGGTACTTAAGCTGATTTCAGATGTAAATTCATCGGTTTAGGTCACTCTGTGCTGTGCTGGACTGCATCGTATACTTTGTTATTTTCAGTCCTCTAAGCATTTCAGTCCTTGTCTTTTGCAGCTTCCTTTCCACGAATAGGACACAAAAATAGGGCTTCATTTTCATTCTGCTATAGCAAAGGGTCAGTGAAAGGAGGCTCTGATCCTTTTGGAAAATACTAAAATAGTAAACACTAAAAATGAAAAGATGCAGTGTAGAGTAAGGTTTGCACAAAACGACTTAAAGTAGATTCATATAGAGATGTCATCTGGCCTATTGTATATGTTGAATTAAGTTTTTATTTATAATGTATAATTTTTTTAATAAATTTAGGTAAAACTTGTTAATTTTTTAATAAACAATTTTTCTTGTGCTAATTTTAATTATAGATTTTACCAGGGCCAGACAGAATCTTCAAAAATTTTTTGTTATTTCTGTGCATAAGTTTAAAAAAAGTCTGCAGATTTATGTGTAATGACTTTGAGAGTATAGTAACTAAATACCACATTAAATTAAATAAAAACTAACCTTTTAACTTGTATTTAAGGTGTGCGATGCAAATCCAATTAGAACCACTTGTTTGGTAAAGAAAGTAAGTCTCTCATGTATTACACACTTACCAAACGCTTTATTAGGTACACCTTACTAGTACCGGGTTGGAACTTCTTTTGCCTTCGGAACTGCCTTAATCATAGATTCAACAAGGTGCTGGAACTATTCCTCAGAGATTTTAGTATATATTGACATGATAGCATCACGTAGTTGCTGTAGATTTGGCGGCTGCACATCCATGGTGCAAATCTCCTGTTCCACCACATCCCAAAGGTGCTCTATTGGACTTAGTTCTGGTGACTGTGGAGGCCATTTGAGTACAGTGAACTCATTGTGATGTTCAAGAAACCAGCCTGAGATGCTTCACTCTTTATGACATGATGCGTTATCCTGTTAGAAGTAGCCATCAGAGGATGGGTACACTGTGGTATAATATAGGGATTCACATGGTCAGCAACAATACTCAGGTAGGCTGTGGTGTTGACACAATGCTGAATTGGTACTAATGGTCCCAAAGTGTGCCAAGAAAATATCCCCCACACCATTACACCACCACCACCAGCCTGAACCGTTTATACAAGGTGGGATGGATCTATGCTTTTATGTTGTTGACGCCAAATTCTGACCCTACTATCCAAATGTTGCAACAGAAATCAAGACTCTTCAGAACAGGCAACATTTTTGGTGAACCTGTGCAAATTGTAGCCTCAGTTTTCTGTTCTTAACTGACAGGAGTGGCACCCGGTGTGGTTTTCTGCTGCTGTAGCCCATCCGCCTCAAGGTTGAACATGTTGTGCGTTCAGAGATGCTCTTTTGCATACAGTAACTCTGTTGTAACATGTGGTTATTTGAGTTACTGTTGCTTTTCTATCAGCTCAAACCATTCTGGCCATTCTCCTCTGATGTCTGGCATAAGCAAGGCATTTGTGCCCACAGAGCTGCCGCTCATTGGATATTTTCTTTTCTAACGAGAAGTTGGACAGGTGTACCTAATAAAGTGGCCAGTAAGTGTATCTAATAAAAGACAGGAAATATTACTTTAAAAACTGTATTGTAAAGAAATCATGCAAACATTTGCATATTGTTTAATAATATTACTTAAATATGAGCATATTACTTATTTTAAAATGACTTTTTTTTTTTTTTTATTCATTTTTGTGTCTTGTAACCATATACTGAGACAACACATGGATGTTTTACTAAGGACTTTTTCAATTGGTCAGTTAGTTCTCTATAAAGCCAATGTTTAATTTTTCTTTAGTACTTTAAAGGGAGCACCAAGACATATTTTTGAGACAGGCACTTGACATATACATCAGCTATGATGTACCTTACTTTATGTGGTTATGAGCAAACTTGTTTACTTTGCGGAAAGACATGTGCGTGCATGAAAGGGAACGTTTTCATGAAAAGGGATAGCAAATAGTACAATTCTGTCATCATTTACTCACCCTCCAGCCTCCTTTCTTTTTCCTGTTAATCGCAAATGAAGATATACTTAAGAATGTTGGTAGGGGAACCAGCTGTTGACTTCTGTAGTATTTTTGTAACTAAACTATGGATGTCAATAGCTACTAGGTTTACAACTTTTATCAGAAGATTTTGTTTTGTGCTCTAAAGACAAAAGACTCCCATAAATGTTTAGAACCACTTGAATATGAGTAAATGGTGTGGATTTCTTTAGTTTTTAGGTGAACTATCTCTTTAAAAAGATCTAAGAATGTAATTTCCACACAGCTTAAAAGGTTATTATGTGATAGGAAGGTTGTGCGTGTTACCAGTTGAGATCTTGTTTACCCTTGTCTCATGCACACTTAACGAAGAATTTGCTCTGTTATTTTTAGCAAGCAAATCAACATTAATATATCTCAGAAAAGGTAACATGTTTACTATACTCTGTTTGTGTTTATGCAGGAGGTGATGTATTGTGGATCGCCATGGCAGGAACGCATCAGATCTGGGCTCTTTTCTTGGAGGACGGAAAGCTTCCCAAAGGGAGGTGAGCTCCTCTCCATGTGTCATGTTCTGTACAGACGAGGCAATGTTCACATAAAGCAGCCACGGGGCTGCCCAAGTGATGTAATTTTCTGGGCAGCCACACAGTTCACTGTTGGCGGAAATTGCTCTGATCGTCCTGATACAAAATGCACTCTTAATTTTATGTGCTGTTCGCAGATGTAGCATTTCTCTTGATGTTTATAAAGCTGTGGTAAGCACTGATAACAGCTTTAAAGGGGACATACTGTATTATGCCCCTTTTCTTACGACACATAATAAGTCTCTGGTGTCCCCAGAACATGTCTGTGAAGTTTCAACTCCAAATAGGCCACAGCTCATTTATTATAACTTGCCAAATAGCCCCTATTTGGGTGTGTGCAAACATAAGTATTGTAAGCTTGCATGTTTAAATGCAAATGAAATGCTGCTTTTCAGAACAGGGTGGAGTCTTTACATACTATTCTAACACTACATAAACAACAAAACTTGTGAATGCAGGCAAAATGTCAGAAATAAACTATTTAAAGGGCCATTAAACCCCCCTCTTTCGGTTCAAGTCTACCTCTGAATTTTTTCAAAAAATGCATCATGATGGGCGTGAAACTCTGCAAGCAGAAGGAGGAGTGGGCGTGGCCAGAAGAGCAGGGGAAAAAGAGCGGAACGAACAACTGTTGTCAGTTGGCTTACAAAATCAGATACAAACTGTGAGGAGACCCATGATTTTATAGTTTACAAAGTTAAAATGCAAAGAATAAGTCATTTAATGCCCTGCTACATATGTTATTTGTAATTTTATATGCACATAACCACAATTTGTTATATCATTATAAAGATAATCATGTTTATATAATGTGTGACTCTACTGGAAATAACAAACTTACGTGTGCAAAAGATTTTGTATTGTTGTTGATACAAAGTCATACAATGAAGGAGAGGAAGAGGTTACCAATTCTAGACTAAACCAGGATGTATCTGAACCGTTTGTAGATCTATTTAAATAGATGTTGTGGAGTAAACTCTATTCAGATGTGCTGGCTCCTGCAAGTAAACATTACATTATTTATACATTTCTCTAATCTGTAAAGTTGAAAAAGTCTGTCACCAGAATATAACAGTGCATAGTAAGTATGTGTTTATGAATTATGCTGAAGGTGAGCGTTTTATGAATAAAATGAATGACATAACTGATTTCTGTGAATACAGTCAACTTTTGCCACATCATCACCACAGCATGTTAACACGCACATTATGAAAATTAAGTGACTTGTATATGAAGTTGTAGCTTAAAGCATTGGTATTGACTCATCCTACAGAAATTGTGTTGAACTACTGTTGTTGGTTAAGCAATCTGCCAATAATTATATGTAGCCAAATATGTGATATTTTACTTACATTCTTCAACACGTTTTAGGCACTTTTCCACAGCATGGTATGGCATGGTTTGGTACAGCTATTTTGGGGGCTTTTCCACTGCATTCTGAAGCTAGTACGTTTTTTTTTTTTTTTTTTTTTTTTCCCCTCGGGTGAGGTTCGGAGGATTCCGTTGCATTACCAAAATGTTTCGTGTACACTTCTGATCACTGATTCCCACCCACATTAAGTAATTCTTAACGGCAATGGAAATGCAAACCGAGAAAGCAAAACCGCAGTGGAAAAGCAGCATTACTTTAAAAATGTAATTCGATCACAATGACCTCAGTGGCTTGGATGCTGGGATTATATTGTGGAGACTCTCATGTTCATTGGTACATTTATCTTTCTGCTCCAGACATTCTAAATATAAACTACTGATGTGGGTGTAAACATGCAGGTTAAGGGCTGGTAATGCATAATAAGATCCCCTTCTTATGTTACTAGAAAAGTGAAATCTGAACAGACTGTTTGGAGAAAAATAGGCTTACCAAAGCAGTTACTAGGATTTCCTTTCTTGCATGTTCTTTGTTGGTAGATGCACAAAGGACATGATTACAGAACGTAAACACAGAAAAAGTCAGATTTTAATGATATGATTTAATTTCTCCTAAAAAATGAAGTACTTTTTGGCACTTTCACATGCTATTAGATCTTAACTGTAGATATTTTGTCCATTTTATCACAAGTATTGTTTTAGATTCTGACAAATTAAGTGGTACTTGATTGTTGTAATCAGACTTTATCTGATGGCTTTTTCAGCGACAGCAAAGCAGGAACATGTGTGCGCTTTGCGGGCAGTGGAAATGAGGAGAACCGAAATAACGCGTACCCTCATAAAGCAGGTCTGGCACAGCCATCAGGCTTGGCTCTTGCCCCGACAGAGCCCTGGGAGAGTCTCTTCATTGCTGACAGTGAGAGCAGCACCATTCGCAGCCTTTCACTGAAGGATGGCGCAGTCAAACATGTGGTGGGGGGAGAGAGAGACCCTCTGGTAAGCTTTATGTGACATGTTTACAGGTCTGAACTTGTCTAACATGTTAGAGATCAGTGTTTCACACCCTTATTTGCTTTATGTAGCCCCATAATAGATTTATAAAATATTGATGCTAATATATATATATATAGAATAATAGAAAGTTTAGTATTTATAAAAAGTTCTTTAGGTACTATTAAAATAATCATTTATATTTTAAATTAGCATTTATTCATAATTTTATGTGATATGCATTTTCTAGTTTCAGTTTAATTTTTGTGATTTTAATTTGTAATTACTTTATCAGAAATACAAAAAATCACTGAGAAAAAAAAATAATTATACACTGGCGATCAAAATTAGAGAACAATTTATAAATAACTGAACAATTCTGAAATAATGTCATCTTCACTGCTCAACAGTTGAAGGATTTTTTGTCCCGTCTATACCATACAACCAGAACACCTTTTCCCCAAAATAATAAAGCATTTCAACAAAAAAACATTATTTTGCAGAAAACACACTGATCAAAATTAGAGAACAACAATGACTGTAGCATGGAAAAAGATTACAGCAAAATTTTCTAAAGGTTACAACAGTCAGCAGTTAGTAGGAAGTGTACAAGCCTCTGCTCTGAATAACTTCAGCACATCTGTGGCCACAAGACAGCACTAGTCTCTCAAACTGCTCTGGTGTGATTTTTGCCCACTCTTCTTCCAGTCGTCTCGACATTTCAGTGACTGTATGGGTTTCTTGGCCATAACTTTGTAGCCAAAGATTTTCCAGAGGTTCTCTATTGGGTTGAGGTCTGAACTCTGGGCAGACCATGTCATTATTTCAATGTTTTCAGTTTCAAGGAACTGCTTTACCCGTTTTGCTGTGTGACATGGCCCGTTTTCCTGCATGAACACCTTGGGCTGATTAGGTAATGAACGTAGGGAAGCAACCATATGTTGTTAAAGAAGGTTCTGATAAACATTTGCATTCCCTTTGCCATACACCTGTAGAGGCCCAACTCCTGCTGCAAGAAACATGCCCCAAACCATGACACTTCCTCGTCCACTTTTTACAGACTTCTTTATGCACTTTGGGTACATTTTTTCTCCAGTTTGTCGCCGAACATACAGTAATGTTTCCCATCGGACCCAAATAAATTAAACTTGCTTTCATCACTGAAGTGAACTTTGGAGCAGTTCTCCTCTGTCCACACAGCATGCTCCTCAGCAAAGCTTATTCTTGCCTTTTGATTCTTTCTGCTAATGAGAGGTTTGGTGACTGCAGAGTGGGCTTTCAGTACAAATGCTCTTAATCATCGAGAATGTATGACGAGACAGATCTTTACCCAGTACAGTGCTGAACTGGTGAGAAGTTCCAGCTTTAGTGTAAAAACGATTGCCCATTGAGATTCTCCGTAGTATCCTGTCATCTTTTCTGTGGATGACCAGCCTTCTTGGGGGACTTGAGAGAGTTGTGATGTTGTAAAGATTTAGTATTCGTGAAATCACAGATTTGGAACGACCAACTTGTCTTGCTATGGCTGATAGGGTCATCCCTTTGGCCTTCATCTGGACAACCTGCTGCCGAAGGCTTTCAGTCACTTTAGAACCGCCCACCATCTTGCAGAGTCAGTGAAACTGGAAATTAGGCTGCCAGGTAAATAGGGGTTGACAGATAATCAAGGGAATTAGCGCCAGATGCCAGATTGACACCAATAATTGGGAGGTATCTGAAAGTGTTCTCTAATTTTGATCAGTGTGTTTTCGGCAAAATAATGTTTTTTGCTGAAATGCTTTGTTATTTTTTGAAAAAAGATGTTCTGGTAGCATGGTATATATAGGCGGGACAAAAAATCCTTCAACTGCAGAGCAGTGAAAATGACATTATTTCAACATGGTTCAATTATTTATAAATTGTTCTCTAATTTTGATCGCCAGTGTATATATATATATATATATATATATATATACACACATAGAGAGCAATTAATTTAAATTAAAATAATATTTTACAATATTGCTGTTATTGTACTTTTTATTAAATAAATTATTGGCAAGTAAAAGAGCGAAATTATTTTGTTTTAATTTTTTAAAAATAATTTTTCAATGTATATTTTGTTGGTTTTGTTCATTTTTTTGTATGTTTTTTTTGTATTCATTTTAGTTTTAGTTTAGTTCAAAACAATTAGCTTATTATTTAACAAATTTCTGTGTTTAATTTTACTTTTTAATTTTAATAATTTAATTTTAGTTGCTAGGACAACATTGTTCATCTAATATTTATCATTTATTTTATTCCAGACGTATTTAACTGTTTGGGGGATGCCATTTGAATCAATTAAATGAAAGCTTGTAAACTAAGTCTAAGGCCTCGTTGACACTAATACATTTTAGTTTTAAAACGGCGATTTAGAATGTTAACGATCCACGTACACAATGGCGCTTCATCTAGCGTTCCTGAACAGATCTCAGTCCACCATATTTTGCTGAAAATGCACATCACATGACCACACGCAAACTCTAGCATGCACTGCAGTGTATGCGTGCGTCTGAACTCAGCGGTGTTTTGAGCAGAACTCCCCAGGTAAAAGATGTGCACGTCGGACAATTCATCCAAAATCTACCGCTGGATTTAATATCACTATATTTATTAAATGTGATATTTAATTCATCTTTTCAAGGAGGCAGTTATGTTATAGGCTATGTTTGTTATAAATATGCATATAGTGAAGATGACCCTCATATAAATATGTTGCTACATTTTTGGTGTCTGTTAAGGTGTCAATATCAAAATGAAAATAGGAAGTTCTTTATATCATGTTTTCATTTTATTGTTCTGATAGTGAAACAATGTAGCCAGGATGATGGGAATGAGGTTATAAAGTACCTTGTTACCTTTGAAGATTTACCCGATGTGTCCTCGGGAGTTTGTTTTTCCATATCCAACTTACGAAGTCTGAACTGAAAAGGAAAGGATGCAAGACTGAACTGTGTGTAGGTTACTAAATATTGAGGAAAAAGCCCCAATTAGATGCAGTCACGCCTCCGTTTTCAGATGTCTCTTTTTCTCCAGCATTTTAAATTGAAAACAACCTCTTCACCATTTTCGAAAAGCTTAGTTTTCAGCGCTCAAACTCTGGCATAGTGTGGATGGATGGCATAACCGTAGTAAAACTTATCTTTTCTTATCTTATGGTCAAGAAGACCTTCATTTTTCTGCATCAGATCATTTCTCTTCCTGCTGAGCACTTTGTCTTCCCTGCACACTTTATTAGGAAGGAGCGTGTCGTTATCTAGTTCACATTAGGAATAATACACCACATGGAGAGATTTGAATTTTTATGGGGTCATAAATTATCGCAGTTGATTACATGTAACATTTGCATGCAATGCAAAGCAAGTTTGTTTGGCACTACAAGATCCCCAAACTTAGTGTAATGTGAGGAGACGTTAAATAAATGAAGTCATGGAGCAATTTTTTATCATTTAATGAACCTAGGCGATCTGATTAAGAAACTATTTTTCCTCCACTCCTGAAACAGGCAAGACATTTTTCAGATCTGCTAGATTTCCTTCGAGTAGACAGGATTTTCTTGGCAGAGAATGAGAATGGATTGGGTTTTGCCATATTTGGTCACTAGATTAATGAGATTTTTTTTTTCTTTCCTGCCCTTGTGATGTTCAGTGGCTTATTTTATACATTAGACCACCACTGCTGCACTGTGATTGAGTAAATATACAGAAATGGCTCATTTATACGCTCTCACAACTTTGCAATAAAGCGTAACGTTTTTCTCATGGGTAAGCTGTCAAGAAATCATGCATGGCCCTTTAAGTTTGTATTTTTTCTGTGTTTGACCAGAACCTGTTTGCATTTGGAGATGTTGATGGTAAAGGCATCGATGCTAAACTGCAGCATCCATTAGGGGTTTCCTGGGACGAGGGCAGAAGCCTTCTCTATGTGGCCGATTCTTACAATCACAAGGTCAGTTTTATACTTTCAAGAAATACTAATTATTAGTCTATTTTAAACTTTATACTTTCTTGCTTTGACCTAGAAGAATATTTGAAAGTTGTCTTAGAGGTTATTGCCATAGTTGTAGGTACTAGTGTGCCTAGAACAGGGCTGTCCAAACTCGGTCATGGAGGGCCGGCGTCCTGCATATTTTAGTTTCAACCCGAATTAAACTCACCTGAACCAGCTAATCAAGCTCTTTCTAAGTATACTATAAAGCTCCAGGCAGGTGTGTTAAAGTAAATTGGAGCTAAACTATGCAGGACACCGGCCCTCCAGGACTGAGTTTGGACACCCCTGGCCTAGAGAGCCTAGACTTATCCTCTATGGAGATACCACACTACTTGATCAACAAAGCATTAATCTGAGATTTGTCAGACTAGCCCTACTAGCAGCCATAAAATGTATAACTTTGCTATAGAAAGATTTTAAACCACCTTCTACTTCTATGTGAATTAAAGAAGTGCCATCTTATATGCCTTTTGGGGAAAAAATTGTGTTTCGCTTGAAAAAGCGGCAAGATTTGTTTGTCAAATACTAGGGCAGTTTAATTTCTTACTTGGGTATGACAGGACAGAATGCTTAGAACCTGACTTTTTAAATGTTTTCTTGTTTAATTTTATTCATGGTTTATTTATGGCACTACAGGTTGGAGGTTTGGGTTGGGACATGTATAGGGCATTATGTGTAAGATTGAAAGATCTATTTAAAATATTCTGTACTTTGTTGTACTTTGTGTTTATCTTGGCAAAACCCAATAAACATAATGCTCCGAAAAAAAAAAAACTTTATACTTTGCCATTATGCTTATATACACACGCACACTCGTATACATTCAGTATACCCTGCATATGTTTTTCCCAATTCCTGTTTAACAGAAAGATCTGTTTTCAACACATTTCTAAACAAAATAGTTTTAATAACTCATTTCTGATAACTGATTTATTTTATCTTTGCCATGATGACAGTACATAATACTTAACTAGATATTTTAGTAACCAGCTTAAATGGCAATTTAAAGGCTTAACGAGGTTTATTAGGCAAGTCATTGTAAAATGATAGTTTGTATAAAATATAAAACAAATAAGACTCTCTAGAAGACATTTTTTTTAGAAAATATTGTGAAAATTCATTGCTTTTTGTTAAACCTAATTTGGGAAATATTTGAAAAAGACAAAAATTATAATCACAGGAGAGCTAATCATTTTGCCTTTAACTGTATATTATAGCAAGGGCTGGTAGGAATGAATATGATGTTTCATTTTTAGACAAAGTTTTGTGACAATCAATGGCATTTTTCCAAACCGGGGGAATATTCCTATTGCTGTTTTTTTTTTTTTTTTTTTTTTTTTTAGCGTTTTCCTGTAAAATTAAATTAGTTGCAATTATAGACCAAATTTTGTACTGTAGGAAAAGCAATTGTGCATTCCATTCATCCATAAATTGACTACAAATTGAACTTAACCAATAATTTTGCCATCCCAAGTGAGATGTCAGTCTGAAGAAAGTGCACAATCCCTTCGAAGAGCACTATGGCGACATTGGGAATAAGGGAACACTGATGTATGCCTTCAAGGAAAGAAGAGAGGGAAATTTACCCACCTGTCACTGCACATCACTCTAGCACTTAAAGAAATATGAATAAAATAACAGCGCTGAGACTCAGGTGCCATTATTGTGTTTAATTAGTGCCAGATGTGATTTGTATGCAGCTGTTCATTAAAATGCAAATATCATTATGATCATTTAATTAAAGCATGTTTCACACCTGTTTTGAAATCCAGTGTGATTTCTCATTTTAAAGTGGTTTGATTAGTCGGAAAATCATATGAAAAAATTAAGACACCAATTGATTTTTTTTTCCCTCAAATTTTAAAACCTGAAAAAAGATCAGATCATTTTTTTGTCGTATTTGGGAAATTTGGAATTTCATACAGTGTCATACATTTTTCACATGACTGTATATCAGGGGTGTCCAAACTCGGTCCTGGAGGGCCGGTGTCCTGCAAAGTTTAGTTTCAACCCCAATCAGACACACCTGTGCTAGCTAATCAAGCTCTTACTAGGCCTTCTAGAAACATTCTTGACCATTGAGGCAAGAAAGCAGTCCAAACCAACGAGCCAAGCGATTTCCTAAATCAAAACAGTAAATGCGTTGCATAAAAACCTGCAGTGTCTGATTCTGGGAGTGAGGACATTAGTTATCACAGTTGTAAACCAAGGAGCATCTCTTGGTTTCAGAATTTTGTGTAATTGGTTTTCTCCTTGCAGTGGAAAAATGCTGCCCTGATAAAATCTGAGTATTACAAAATATATTGTTTTAAATATAATTAAATATATAAAAGTTTGCCAGTTAATTAAATACGAAATATAGCAACACAACCTTATGTGTGTGTGACATACATAAACACATTTTGGTGTGCTTTGAAATGCTGGAACCATGAAGAAAATGCAACAAAATGTACCATTATATCTCTGTTTCAAAGCAATTGATCTACAGGTCTAAAAACGCTTTAAGATGAGTAAAACACAAGTATGTTAATTAAACAGACATATGGTAATTTACATTTATATTCATTTACAAAAGTGTAGTGCGTCATAAATGTGTGAAGGCTTTTGGGAGTGTTCCAAATGAGCGCATTTTGTAAATTAAGTGGATGTCCCATGCTCAGGGAATAGGGGAAAGTGAACACTGCCAAGGGAGCCTGTCAATTGGAATGCAGCAGTGGTAATTTCTTTTATTATTATTTATGGGTAACAGCTTTTTAAATATTCAGGATTTATCTGCATAAATGAATTCTAGTGCAGTGGCCCCAATACATATTTAAGCAGCACTTAAGCAGCGTTTAAAAAATGAATGTTATTCGATTAGATAAAATATTAAACTGTTGCAGCGTTCCAAATTGGGATAAATTCATTTTCGGAGTGAAAGCAATCATGGTTGCAGCTTAATTGTAATTTGTTTAAATGAAAACCAAATAATAAAACAAAACATCAAAAGACAACATTTCTAGATTAATTTCATTTAAATTGATTTTATTTGGGAATATTGACAGATTTCCTCAATTATTAATAGTTCAGCAACTTGCAATGCGAGATAAGTGCTGCAAGTTTTTGAATAGGGGAACACCTAGTTTTAACCACTGATAACTCAGTGACTCTAAGAGCTTTTCTGTTGCAGATCAAAGTGGTGGATCCAAAGACTAAGCAGTGCATGGTGTTGGCAGGAACAGGGAAGGCTGGAAACGGGATTGGCCCGAGCTTCCTAGAATCCAGCTTCAACGAACCCGGAGGCCTGTGTGTTGGTGAGGGAGGAAAGCTGCTGTATGTGGCAGACACCAACAACCATCACATCAAAGTCCTGGACCTAGAGACCAAAACTGTCTCTCTGGTGAGTCAGTTTTCATTCTTAAAGGTTTTTAAAGGGTTAGTTCCCCCTCAAAACTTAAAATATGATGTTTAAATTCAAGTGTCAGTGAATCAATAGATGTTTACAGTTGCTATAAATGTTTGTTTGCAGGGTTTTTGTGCTCAAAAAGCAATCCAGCAGCTTTATAAAATTAAGATTGAGCCACAAATATTTATATCTGATTTAATTTTTTTTTTTTATAACCTTTCAGGACCTTTAGGGGCCATTAACTTATGAATAGATATATGTTTGCAAATAGAGAGTGACATCCCCCCTTTTTTGCTCAGGTTTTTTTTTCATGCTTGAGTTAAAAACATGTCAACTTTTTAGATTGAAGCAAGTGCACTTCACATTATGTGACAAGAAGCTTCACCCTGTGTATGAATTATACAGTATTTCAGTTATGACGGAAGACTAATTGCCTCAGGCAAGAACACGCAGTGCTGCACTTTTTATTTTATTCCATAAATAAACCTGTATCAGAGCTACTGCAAGGGTTTGTCAGTAGTGGTTCCCTGGAGAGTTTAGCTAATGGTTGCTTAGCAATGGCAGACTCTACGGAAGCACAAGATCCTGAGTGCTTTAAAATTGGTAGTGGAAGTAGTGTGCATCTTGTTTTCCAACACTGTTTTAGACACTATGGGCCCTATCATACACCTGGCGCAATGTGGCACAAGACGCAACGCAATTGCTATTTGCTACTTTCACCTCAGCGAAAGGGTCATTTTGAGGTGTTGTGCCACACTGTTTTAATAGCAAATGCATTTGTGCTTGTATGTGCGCCTATAGGCGTTCTGGTCTAAAAAAGCAGGCGTGTTTTGGTGCGTTGCTATTTTGAGATACTGTAAATAGTCTGTTCTTTAGACCAAAACAAAGTCGGTCTATTGTCTGGTGCAAAATGCGCCTGGCTTACACACTACACACAAGATGTAGAGCAATACACAAATATCTTTACATATGAAAAAGATATAATATATTAAGGTTATTTATATAATAAGGATATATATAGGATATAAATATAAATAATTAAAATATCACAAAATATATTAATTTCTAGCCTACATGAATTTAAAAACCACTGCCTTTCTTCATCTCGGGAGGCTTTTTCAGTTCATTCACTTTGCTTATGTATATTGTATAATGTATAATGTAATAATATATTATTATTTGCAGTATTATTTCTTTTATCCAAATTTATATTTGTTTTGTGTAAAAACAAGCTTAGATTTGTCCACCTGTCAGGTTTTAGACCATATGAGGCATGGCAGGTGTATTTGGAAATAACTCAGTATTTTGAGCACACTTCGTTATCAATGTTCATTTATTAGTTTGCTGGAAATTAGAACTGAATTTAGAAATAGTTTTGAAACCAATCTTTGCGCTTAACAAACAAAATTAATTATTTATAGGCTAATTGATGTCTGTGCGGTAAGGTTTCCCTATCCACGAGAGCAAAAGCGAAAGTGAACTTACTTTACCTCATGTAAATACTGTAAAAAACATCTGATCATGGCAATGTGGATTTGTTTGCACCTGGTTCACATTTCCTACAGTCATAAACATTATTTAACCACCTTGCTGGATGGCTTTTGATACCAGTACTCCTACTGACTCTCTATTATAATAGCATTTCAGCCAATTTTATTTTATTATTTTTTTTAGAAATGTAGCTGTTACAATAGCTGTTTATAATGTAATCAAGCTGATCTCTGTCTAATGATATCAGTTACCATTATATGACTTTTTGGAGAGCAATACATAATATGCATTACCATTCTGATAAATGTTTATTTGAAAAAGTGTGAACACTGCCTACTAAACCTTTATGCGCACCGAACAAGCAAACCCAGAACACTCAAACTAATGTGTCTCAGTTCGCTGTAAATAAACGTTGGTGCAGCTTGACTAAAACATGATCACAGTATTCATTAATGACATCTAAATAAGCTGAAAACAGGATAGGAGCTGTGTGAATGACCTCTTACACTGCAAATGACATAAGTTGCCAATAGGGGGGAAGAAACCTCTCAGATTTCAGATTTGACGTATTAAGTCATTTGAAATGGCTCTGAATATGTGCTCTTTTCTTTTAATTACAAAAAAAAAAAAAAAAACAGCAGTGAAAAAACACAAGACAAGAAAGCATCTAATCATAGTAATGTTGGTTTGTCACAAACAATTAACCAACTTGCAATAAGGAGCTATTAATATCAGTACCTCCACTGACTTTCTATGATGATAGTAGCATTTCCACCTAAGAAGGTTAGTTTTCTTTTAGAAAGGTAGCTGTTACAATAGCTGTTTGTAATGTAATCAAGCTGCTGTCATTTGCTATATCAATTGCTGTTACGTGACTTTTTGGCATTTTGCCTTACTATTCTGATAAATGTTCATTTGAAAAAGTGTTAAAATGTGTCTCAGTTCAATGTGAGCAAACTTTGGTGCAGCTTGACTACAACATGAACATGGTATTAGTTAATGATGTCTAAATGAGCTGAAAACAGGATAGGAACATTTTTGTTTTACATTTCAGTACAAGCGCCCTATCCTTGTAGCAGATCTTCATTTGCATGTGTGACGGAGGAATTTTTGGCTCACTGGCTCTCTATTTTTGTACCAGTTTCCTATTGTAGGGCATCAAGATGTTGATGCGATCCTCAAAACCACCACCAATAACACATCTGCGGTCAAAAAGCGCCCTAAGCTTCCCAAATCAGCCCCTGTGCTTGCTATGCCATCAATCAGCATTTCTTCAGGGCAGTCAGTCACTCTTTTGCTGAAATTGGCGCTACCAGCTGGGACCAAGCTGACAGAAGAAGCCCCTAGTTTCTGGAGCCTATCTGCAGAAGGTACGGAATCCAAAATTACCTATATAAGTGCATCTTTCCTATCTCTCAATTTCAATTATTTGGCATGCACAATGTGTAAAACGCATTTATTTACATGGGGGTTGTTCGCACCTTGTACACCATGCCTCAGGGGCACCTACATGGGGTGAACTGTAGTGTTTTGTTTGCTGGATTGCTGTGCTCACACATTTTCAGCAGGCTTCAGGGACCAGCTGGTCGTACTGGGAGTCGATCCAAGGATAAATAAACAATTTCTCTCTATGCATCCCAATGCATAGTCAACCTCTTGTTCTATCTTAGCCTTTCCTTTCTCTCTCTCTTTCTCTTTTTTTTAGCATCACCCTCCGTCCTTCTGCCGCAACATTTGTCTTTCCTGTCGTCTTTTCTATTGGTTATTCTCCACAAAGACATCAATCGTGTCCGAATCTTTCACGAGCGATAATCAGCTCAGTCACCGGAGACGACTTCTGCTCATCATACTGGCTGTTTGTCTATGAGCAGCACTAGAACATTTTACCATACAATAAACAAGCACCTAATTAGTTTATGAAAGTGGCCGTAGCTGAAGTGACAGAAAGTCCCAGGGGCCTACTCCGCATAGTGACAACAAAGATACCCATTAGGACCAGAAAAAGCATGAGTGTTAGTGGGCGTTAGATGCTCAGAAACTGCAACTAATAGTTGTGTCTGACTTTGATTGATTGACTGTAATTATGCACCAAATTACAGAGAGTGCTTGTTTGTGGGTGGCTATGTGTGTCGTAGAAGATAACAGTGGTAATTGTTTTGTTTGTTAGATGTAAATACAAATGGGTGTCTGAATTCCTGGAACATGTAATTCATTATGTAAATAATTATATCAGCAGGGTAAGAAATTAATAGGGAATCGGGAAAGTGGCATCAAGAAAGAAATATGCCCCAATTCCTTTTTTGAAAGATTTTTTTTTTTATTAGATTTTAGGTCAATAAATTATATTATATTATATATTATTATTATTATTATTATATTATATATATATATATATATAAATTATATATATATAAATTATATATATATAAATTATATATATATATATATATATATATATATATATATATATATATATATATATATAAATTATATATATATATATATATATATATATATATATATATATATATATATATATATATATATATATATATATATATATATATATATAAACCATTTTGAGGGATGTAAACTATAACAACGGTCCTAACATATTTACTGTTTTACATTTTTACTTTTCATAGCTTCCGGGAATCCAAAAGGGTCCACATATTGATAAATAATGTTATGGCAGCTGTAATGATTGAATCGCCTCTTGTTACAGTTATAAATTTGTTTTATGACAAGAAGGAAATGCTCATGGGCCAATAATATCACCACATTGAAATGGTCCTAAAATAGTGCTTATTGAGCAAGGATGCATTACAATGATCAACAGAGACCATAAAGACCATAGGACTCGAACTCAATTCCTGGAGGACCGGACTTCCACACAGTTTTGCTCCAACCCTGATCAAAAACAGCTGATCCATCTAATGAAGGTGTTCATGACTCTTTTGAACACAGCGATTATTTGATTCAGCTGTGTTTAATGGGGTGGAGCAAAACTGTGTAGAGCTGCGAGAATGTCTTACAGTATCATAATATTTATAGTGATACAAAAATGCTGCTCATCTAAACAAAGAATCATAGTGTGCGTAAACTTTATCATATATTTAAGTAATTTAAATATGGATAAATAATTTAATGTTAATATATTTTCTTAAATTGTATCAATTTCTGAGTGAATATGTGCAATGAATTTTGGTGTATTTAAACTAGTTTTATTAAACAGATATATTTATTAAAATAAGATTTTAGTTACCAAACATATTTAGAAATTGAAAGATAATACAATTAAATTCAAGAAAAATAAAATAAATTACAATCTACAGAGTTTCAACTAAATTTTACTATTTTAACTTTAGTTATTCATAATATATTGCTTAAATAATATAATGTAATTGGAACAGCAAGTATATAGACATTTAAGGGGATATTTTAGCATAATACATTTTACTTAATAAATGCATGTAGCTCCCAATTATATTATTGGTATTATGAATATTATGAAGCAAGCAGATTAGTCTGTGTGGTAACTACTAATGTTATTTAGAAAAAACATCATCTACATCAGAATGGCTCGAAGTAAATTAATAGCAGATTCCTATTTTTAGATGCTTAACTAGGTTAATTTGGTTTACTAGGCAGGTTAGGGTAATTAGGCAAGTAATTGTATATGATGGTTTGTTCAAAAGCCAAAATAAAACCAATCAGACTTTTTCTAAAGAAAAAATATCAGACATATTTTGAAAATGTCCTTGCTCTGTTAAACATCATTTGGGAAATATTTAAAAAAATAAATAAAACTCAAAGGGGGGTTAATAATTCTGATTTCAACTGTACCTTTAAAATAATATATTCTTTAATAATATATTTTTAAATAATAGAATTATTAATTTATAATAATATAATATATTTAAAATAATAATAAATTCTAATAAAATCATTTTGCCTCAAAAAATTATTTCCAATTGCTAAAACAAAAGTAACGCAACACAAAAAAAATCGTTGAGTAAATATTCCCTTACAAATCCCCCAGAAATAATACTCGAAATGACAGGTATTGCCCTTTTGTAAGACATTTTTCTGACAGTTCATGGTTTGTGCACTCTGCTTGCGATTTGCGTAGATTAGCCCTATAGGCCTTTGCTCTCGTCCTTTCCTTTTTTTGCTCTCACTGGAGATCATTTGATTGGACACTGTCCTAATTCTCTCTGGCACTTGTCTTAGTAGCCTGCCCTTGACTCAAGGCCAGTGACACACACCTGGTACAAGCTGCATTGCAGAACCATTAACCAAAGGCGTTTTCTTTCACCGCACATGATTCCCTCTGTTTTCTATGCATCCTGAAAAGTCCCCATCAACTGCCAGAAAAATATTTCATTGCATTGGCAAGTGTATATGTTTTTTTTTTGTTTTAAACCCAAACACATGGTTCACCAAACAAACATCAGCCAAGAAAATCAAAGATTACAGGAATCATCCCTCAACCACACACTAAACCGTTTTATTTTCCTTGACAGGTAATGAGTGGTTGCTGGAAGGCCGAGCAGTAACTGGGAGCATTGATGATCTTTCTGAACCCATCTCGATCGTATTGTCCATCCCAGTGGCCCCTGTGTCCCCTGACCCGACGCTAACGCTCGACGCCTGGCTCTATTTCTGCGTTTCTGAGGGTGGGGCTTGTATGATGAAGACAGTGTCCTTCAAACAGCCACTTCTGATTAGTTCCACATCTCAGGAAGGTTCTGTCGCTATAACACTCAAGCATGCCTTTTAAAACTGCCACGCATATTTAAAGCACATATATAGAAGGGTCTGTTCGTGCCAAGAATTAAACTTGTCATCATTTATTCACACTTGTGTCATTCTATGCCCATATGAAATTTGTTCAATTAAGAACACAAATTCAAATGTTTTAATGAGAGATGAGAGATTGCCGCCCTTCATTTGAACATCTATTAATCAACAAACTATCCTGTTCCAGACGTCCTTTTAAAAAGGACTGTTTTTTCAGCAGACGAAAAAAAATCCTGATGCAGAAAAGAAGATATAGGCAAACTGTCATATTTACAGTTTTTTGTGTTCAAAAGTTTTCATGAAGCTTTGTATGATTTCATTTGAATCCTGAAGTCACATGGAATGTTTGACAATGTTTTCGGTTGATTTTCTAGACTTTCAATGTCTCAGGATTGTTATGTTATATAGAAGCTCAGAGAGCTCAAATGAATTATGGTTCATCCAAGTCTTGTAAAGAGACAATTGTTTATTTTAAGATGAACAGATTTCTGATTTAGTCTTTTATTCCCAAGTTGATCAACGAACAATGTTTACAGCATTCATATCTGGTCACAGAAGCTCAAGCATGCTCGCTTGATGCATGAGAACCAATGAGGTTGAATTTATTAGGATACATTTTCCATATAGAATGCAGGCGTGTAACTTAACCGAGATCGGGTCAAACAATAGACTATCCTATTCCAGACATCCTTTTAGAAAAGCATATCTGCACTTTTAACTAGATTTATACAGTACTTGTCTCTGACTCTGCATCAGCCTCCCCTGACTAAGAGCGCAAAGTCATAAGTTGTAGAGGCTTTTCATTACTCATTCATATTTACCACAGTTAATCTGTACTTAGGACCATTTACGCATGTTGCATGAATGGACCAGGGCTATCTGCTTCATGCATTTCATTCGTGAGTCTGTGCATGCAGCATGTGCATAACGGCCCTTAGACAGAACAGGCAGGTTGTTCGATGAGTGATGCACTGGATGTGTTGTTCTATAGGACAAATCTTCTCTTCTACATCAGGTTCTCAGGTTGCACATGTACTACAGGTAATAAAATGTACTACCATTAGATTAGAGGTCTGCACAGGACTGTTTTTTTCAGCAGTTAAAAAAAATAGTTAATAAATAGGGGAGTGGTCCTACAGTGGGATAGTGGGAACAGTCCTGCACAGACCTCTAATCTAATAGTAGTGCATTGGATTGCCTGTAATAAATGTGTATAAATATTAAATTATATTAAATAAAATATTAAATATTTACAGTTTTTTGTGGACAAAAGTGTTCATGAAGCTTCATATGACTACATTTTAACCACAGAAGTCACATAGAATGTTTTGTCAATGTTTGTGGTTCACTTTCTGGACTTTGAATGTCTCCGGATTGTTGTTTTACATTGTTTGTTTTCAGCTCTCTGATTCAATCTAAAATATCTTAATTTGTGTTCTGAAAATGAACAAAGGTCTCAGGTATTTGGAAAGACTTGAGGATTATTAATTATTATTTTTAGGTGAAATAACCCTTTAATGAATGTTTAAACCGTTTTCGGTTGAACAGACTTTCAATGGAAGGGCAGAATCTCTCTGATATCAGATTAAGAATATCTTCATTTGTCTTCTTAAGATGAACAAAAATCTTTATGGGTTTGGAAATCTTTAATGGAAAATTCCCCCACATCACCCTCATGTCATTCCAAACATGTTCATGTTTATTTCTATTTAATTTATTTATCTAAAATATGTAAATGCCTTTTAATGTATCCAAAACTTTACAAATAGAGATCCAATAGGGTTGTTTTTGGGCCCCACTGACTCAAACTTTTTTCCCCCACTGTTTTGCATCCTGCAGAAGAAAGAGATGAATGACATGAGTGTGAGTGAAGGATTTTTAGGTGAATATCCCATCAACACTCAAATCACATCCTGTGGCTAACACATACTGTAGTAATCAGACAATTCACATGCCCGTCATCATGCTAATGATGGATCGCAAGTACTAATTGTGGAGTCGAGATCTGACTGTTACAGCTTGACAAATATTGAACAAAGTGCCTCATTCTCATCAGCAATATTTTTATGCTCCTCAAGGGGTGTTTCACATGATTAAGCTTGTGTAATGCCCTTGTTTAATAGCCTGATATCTTTATCAGCCATCGCCATTCACTCTCTCACATGCTCTCGCGCAATAATATATGAAATTATGCAGTGTGGTTTCAAAATGTAGCCCTTGTCAGCTGCTCCGACAGCCCTTCATGGTTGGGTTGGCTGATGTTGTTATTATTATTACTACATTTTTTTCCTTCACCATATGATGCTGTAAGACGTTCTTGTAAATGATCAGTCAGACTTAATGCTATTTTTATTGCCATTATTTATTATTGTTTACCGGGCATAAGTGCCTTTTCGATGAGCAATACACTTTATATTAATGACTTATGTTTTGTAAATCAAGCAGTGACATTAATTTCACTATTCAGTCCTTTGTTGGATGGAATCATGAGGCATTTACATCTGCATATTAATGTTTTCTGAAATGTTATCCTCTCAGCCTGTTATGCATTAACAATGTGTATTTGTAAAGCTGGCTGATAAATCATGTGCTTGCAGATCGTGCGCTTGGAGAGTGTGAATCAGACCAGGTTATTGCATAGAAATGGCCGCTAAAATACTGTCCTGTTTCTGTTTTTGCCTGCTTTTCCTGTGGCTGATAAACTGATTGAATAAAAACACAATTTATCTCTCTCCCTTCTGAGGGCAGCTCTTTTCTACAGCCTCCAAATTCTGCACTTTAACAGATTAATTGGATGCAGTGGTCTAATAAAGTTTATTTTGCCAGCATTTATGCGTTTAGTGTTTTCATATCCTCTTCACTACGCTAAAAGACCAATGCGTAAATGACCGCAGACCATCTGTTCCAACAGAAATGTTTCATTTTAGCTTAATTCAGCTTTTTTTTTTTTCCAATGACATTTTAGAATACTCTAACATTGAACAACCACCAGAATGAACCGCCAACTATTCCAGCATATGTTTTACACAGCGGATGCCCTTCCAGCTGCAATCTAGTTCTTGGAAGAACCCATACACTCTCACATTCACACACACATACACTTATACATGACGGGCAATTTTTGTTTACCTACACTGCATGTATTTCAACTGTGGGGAAACCGGAGGGGAAAACATAGGGAGAACATGCAAACATGCACATAAATGCCAACTGAGACATGGTCCAGCTGAGACTTAAACCGATGACCTTCTTGCTGTGAGTGCTAACCACTGAACCATTGAGCCTAGCATTTATTAATCAAGATTAATGTAGAAGCTGAGTTATTGTCATCTCTCGATTACCGTAATCGATTTCCAAAATGACTACGTGTGATGTTCTACATAAAAACATAGTGGCTAAATCAGTGTGTGGTCAGGTAGTGGAATTGTCGCTTGGTGCTCAGAAAATGTAATAGTTGTGATTCTGACTACAAGTATGGGGATGATTTTTAAATAGTTGGAATGTTGTAACTATGGTAATTAAAATTAACTGCATATTAACACAAGTATTTAATCACCCAGTCACATGACAGTAACTCACAGCATTTAGCATGGAGATTTGTTCACAATAATCTAAATATTGATTTTAGAAACTGCTAATTTTCTGGGTCTAATTTTCTTTAAAAAACTTTAAGCTGCCTTTCACTGCACACGACATTCGGACACAAATATTCAGAATGAATATTCAGTGTTGTCGTGCACCATGGGAGAAAACCTGTATTCTCGCGGTATCCGAAATAAAGGAGTGCAAAAGCAAGAGCCTCTGTTCTCTGTGCATTCACCATTGTTGAATGCAGGGGTATCGCTAGACCCCATTAACTGGGACACGTGCCCCAGGAAAAATTGCCAGTGCCCCAGTAAATACTTTGAGATACTACACTTTATATGCAAGTTATTAAAAGTGGTAATCCCAGAATAAATTCGTTATTCGTTATACCGAACCAACGCGGGTGAAAGCAATAGTTTAATCAAAAAGCACACTGAGCATGTCCACAAAAAAAAACAACCGCGCGCCCCTCAGCAATACAAAAGTTTATTTACCAATATGGTTTAAACATTTTCCTTATAATAACATTTGTTTTCAGTATTTTTTAAAGTTTTAACTGGACTATTAAAAAATGTCCTTAGCGTTTAGCCCAAGTCTAACGTTTCATTTATAATGGTTTTAAAAAAGTTTTAAGTTTGACTTGATGAAACCTGCAGAAACCCTGCAATTAAACAATGCTAAGGAACTGAACAAATTATAAGTATGTTTGGTGCACACACAGCTGATAAGCATGTGCTCCATTCATTTGCTTGTGAGTGTTTGTCTGCCTGCCTGAAACTGCTACTGCCAGCACGCTCCATTTCCCTGACTTAATGTTCTCAACAATTCCAAATAAAGCTGAGCTGTGAAAATATACGCTTTGTGGAGTCCAATGTGATCCTCATAATCTCTCTGCAAACACCGAACGCCACAGAAAATGTTCATTTCTACCCGCAAGAATTCCCCAGAGAAGCTGCGACGGCCATTAAAGTGCAACAGGCTAATATTTAACCAGAAAGAACATTAGGAATCAGAGTCCATATGCAGGATTAACAGGAGCGTAAATAAGGAAACAGAACATTAGAGTTGAACAGGCAGTCAATCAGACAGCTGCTTCTTTGACACAAATCATCACAACAGCTCGCAGCGAAAGAGCATTTGCACTCTTGAGATGATTACGCGCATGCAAATATCAATTCGAGAATTCATCAGTTTAACAATGTCATTCTTGTATTTTTTGGGGGGGAAAAGGAAAAACATTCTGGTTTTCTCTGCCAGTACAGCAGAGAAATAATCTGGAGAATGTCATGGGTGAATAGAAGAGACAACAACATGAACTCAAGGCATCAGATTTTGTGATATTGTGAGTGTTGGTGGACAGAAATGTCATGTCGGTAAAACCCCCTTATTAGTCCTTCGAGTCCAGTTAGGATTTTCTTGACAGGACTATTAACCCTGCGTATCTCTCCTTTTTCAGACAGGTTTGTTGTCAATTTCAGACAGTCAGGCTATGTGGTTGGCTAAAATAAAATGGAGCAAGATGAATTGAAAATCTGTACATTAATTTAGCATTTTAGGTAAAGAATTATATTTTCAGAACAATATTTTCAACTAAAGCCATATTGTATGTGATCTGTAGCTCAACAATTGAATTTGAAAAAAAAAGATCATTTCACTGAATGTATCCATTTTGCATCATAAATACAAATATAACCTGAACATTGACGTTTTAAATCATGTTTAAATGGCTATATCCCTTCAATGAAAGTTTCTTTTTTATTACTAAAGCATTACAAAAGCATTGTTAAGCAATCTGATTATCAATTTATGAGGTAGCATAAAATAAAAGTGATGAATAAAGAAGTGAATACACATGTGTTTGCGTAAGCACTAATCTATGCAGTTTAAATGTACAAGTTGCAATCAGAATTATCAGAACCCCTTTTTTCAACTTTGTTAAATATTTACCAAAAGATGTTTTACAGAGCAAGGAATTTTTTACAGTATGTCTGATAATATTTTCTCCTCTGGAGAAAGTCTTATTTGTTTTATTTATTCATTCATTCATTTTCTTGTCGGCTTAGTCCCTTTATTAATCCAAGGTCACCACAGCGGAATGAACCGCCAACTTATCCAGCAAGTTTTTACGCAGCGGATGCCCTTCCAGCCGCAACCCATCTCTGGGAAATTATTTGTTTTATTTTGGCTAAAATAAAAGCATTTTTAATTACTTTTTTTTTTTTAAACATTTTAAGGTAAAATTATCAGCCCCTTTAAGCAAAATCTTTTTTTGATTGTCTATAGAACAAACCATCATTATACAATAACTTGCCTAATTACCCTAATCTGCCTAGTTAACCAAACTAATCTAGTTAAGCCTTTAGATGTCACTTTAAGCTGTATAAAAGTGACTAGTAAAATATCTAGTAAAATATTATTAACTGTCATTATGGCAAAGATAAAATAAATCAGTTATTAGAAATGAATTAATAAAATTATCATGTTTAGAAGTGTGTTGAAAAAAATCTTCTCTCCGTTAAACAGAAATTGGGGAAAAAATAAACAGAGGGGCTAGTAATTCTGATTGCAACTGTATTTGTCATTTAAGATCAAGCTATAGATTTGTAATGATGAAGAAAAAGAACGAGAAAGAGCATCTAAATCAGGGCAGCCCAAACTTTTTTGTATAAAGGGCCAAAAACCAAATATCATCGAGAGCCTTGGGCAGAAGGTAAATATACCAAACTATATTACATAAAAGAAGCCATGGGTAGTTTCCTAATATATTTTCTAATATTTCAAAATAAAAAGAAAAGATTATTTAAAATTATTCTAATGCAGTATAACTTTTGAAAAGATAACGTTTTGAAATAAAAACAATCACGTTTAAAACGCAGTGGAGTTCAGTGCTGAATACACTAATCAAGCAGAATCTGCCTTTGAGTTGATTTGCTCACCAAAGTCTCCGCATTGTCAGGTGACAGTATGTACATTTAAACAAAATCTGATTTAATTTACACCATTTAATTGAAACATTTAATTTCACTTAGTTTTTATCAATGAAACAAACAGGAAACATTACATTGAATTTGAAATGACAATTTCTAAACCATCCCCATCATTCTCCTTCTTTTCTCAGATGGGATGGCGAGCCAAATCAAAGGTTACCATGGGCCATGCGGGCCCTAGTTTGGGCATCTCTCATCTAAATAAACCCCACAGTAATATGCTACAGATCATCAGAACTCCTTAGCAGCCACTTACCAAGTAACCACCCTTCATTTTATCCATGAAAGAACTGTCAATATTAATTTATGTGATAGGAATGGATGTGAGTGAAGAGCGTGTCAAAGTGCTGGTGGAAGCCCATCTGGCATCAAGCAAAAATAGACAGTTCAACCAAAATGAATATTCTGACAGAATTTACTCACCCGTGTTGTCCCAAACATGTTGTGCCTTTTTTCTTTTTCCTGTGGAACACAAAAGACAATATTTTAATTGATACAAAGAAAGCCAATGGATTCCAATAACAACACTGACTGAACCCATTGATTTACATTTTACTCATGTAGGGTTTTGGAGCAATGTCACAGAAGAACCATATTGAAAATTCGAAACATTTTAGGAATCATTTAATAAACATTTTACAGAAAAATATAAATAGAGAACACAATAAACATTTTGGGGTGCTTTAATATTCTTCGTGAAATAAAAATTCTACTTTATAATTGTTAAAATTGTTTGTTTTTTATTTATTTACCATTATGATATTATCATTACGTAAAATTTGCATCATTATTTTTAAAAAATCCTTATTATAAGGGCTTGACATTGACTTGATATATTTCAGCAGTGGTGGTTCAGACAGCAACTACTGTTGGATTGCAAATATATTTTTTTAATTGCAGTTTTCTTAAATCATGTACTTCCACAATGTTTTGGTTTTAGGTCAACTTTGATGAAAGGTTTTGATTATTTTCAAATGGTGCCTACTGTTTAACAGCTTGTGTAGCATGTCATAATTTAAGTTGTTAGAGTCAGGAGTGTCCAAACTCAGTCCTGGAGAGGTCGGTGTCCTGCCTATTTTAGTTCCAACCCCAATTAAACACACCCGAACCAGCTAATCAAGCCTTTCTATGTGTACTAGAAACTTCTAGGCAGGTTTGTTAAAGGAAGTTTGAGGTAAACTATGCAGTGCACCGTCCCTCCAGGACTGAGTTTGGACCCCCTGACCTAGGTCAAGTAAAATGACTTTAAATCAAGC